CTGCCACCTAGGGAAAAAAAGGGAGGCCCTACTGCCCGCAACTGCTTTGCCCACTAAGTCACCCGTTGAAGGCTCTGTGTAAATAAATCGTGAGTCACACTGACTAGAAGTTACTTTATTGTGAATATTTAAAATGTAAAATGCTTTTTGGAATTTGGTATAAAGAGATGGACCTTTCCTCCTGTTGGTTTTAAGAGCTATTCGCAACACTTGGCCGCCTTTCATTTTAACTTGGGTATCTTAGAAAAGAATGTCACCGCCATCCCCAGACAGACACCTCCCGTCTCACCCCCTCCTCAGGCTCTTTCCCCTTCACCAATTCTTACTGCCCTGGCAGACCTCGCTGGGCCCCCAGGACAGCCCCAGGTTCTCCGCCTTGCCCCAGGACTTGAAGCCTGAAATTGCAGAACCCGCAAGCTTCTCACACCAGCTTCTGGGTTCCCTTCCGAAATTGCACAGTCGTTTGTTGCTATTTATTAGTGATTTAAAGAAAATATTGGGGAGGGAGGGGCTACACTACCTTGTATTTAATTTAACTCCTTTCTGATAAAAAAAATGCGTGTTAAAAGTAGATGATGGGAATTGTTACAAGCGCTCTGGGTCAGAACATAAAAATTCCATTTAGTTGCTGTAATTAAATTCGAAGTGTTTTTGTATCATAAGAAATACTATAGAATATGTAAATTGTTTTCTTTTTAAGCTAATAACCGTGATATATTAGCCTCTTTAACATTTATTAATTTATACGAGGAATTCGGTTTGTAAAGAAAAGGCAGCCCCTTCGCCAGACCCGTGAAATGTAATATGCACTTTCTGTTTTAAAGGATAAATCTAATTAAAAACAGTGACAAAAATAGTTTGAAGACGTCTGTTGCTTTGAATGAATGGGTACAGGTCACCTGGCCTCATCAGAGATTTCAAATAAGTCTAGAGGAGCACCAGTGGGCACACACACACACACACACACGTGTTACATAGGCTTCCTGGGTAAAGTTACATAAGCTTCCTGGGTAAAGAGTTCCTCCTCCTCCTCCTCCTCCTTCTCCTCACCACCACCCCCACCATCACCATAATCAGCGGCAGCAGCAGCAGCAGCAGCATCTCTATCCACTGTTCTTGGGAGAAATCACACCTACCCCCTGGAGCAGAAGGGTGGAGAAACAGCCCCTTTATCAGAGCTTACTGGGAAATGTCTGGTGGATGTTTCTGATGTCTCTTCCTAATTTTTTCCCACTTTGCCAGGAAGTCCCCGGGGAATGTGGGAAGATCTCATCTCCTTGTATCAGGGGCACCCCCCCCCCCCCCCCTCCAAATGATTCAATTAGCTGAGGGGGAGCAGGGAGCTGGGCGCTGCCCCTCAGCGTTAGTCACCTAGCCCAATGCAGAAAAGTCCAGAGCTGCGAATTCCCCCAGCACTACAGTGAATGGAAGGAAAGCCTCTTTAAGTGACCTGAGCTGGCAGCCTTTAGCATTGCAGACACAGTACCCCAAGCTTCTGGGGGGGTTGTTAATAAGTAGTGTTGGGTTGGGGGGCATAGGCATAATTTGTTTTTGTTTTATTTTCAGACACTCAGTTACAGGTCCAGGGAAATATATTTTTCTCCTTAGTGATGTAGGTTAATGAGCTTGTGTCCAAAGGAAGACAGAAGAGAACAAACATTTTTTAAAACATCCTTTTCTCCCCAGAAGGTTGGGATGGCTAATGGTAATTCTTGTGATGTATACTCCTGATGGCATGGTTCAGTGGAAAAGAAGGAAGGAAACCACCCCGTTTTATAGTCTCCAGTTTGCAAAGTTCTCCAGAAGTTTCAAATGCATTTTGGCTTCTGTGTTCTCAGCAAGACTGAGGTATTCATCCTATAGAGAGGCAGCTGGGTTGCTACTACTCTGCTGGAGTGATGGCCGGTGAAGCCTAATTGTGAACAAGCAAGAAACCACCCCTCCCCTCTATTCAGTGTTTCCCTCTTCTCCTTCCTTTCTCCTTCTTTCCCTCTTCACTGTTTCCAGTGTTTTATTATCTCCCTTGTGCCTTTCAAATTCTTTCCCCTTCTTTGTCAGTTTCCCTCCCTCCCTTCTCCCTTGCCCCCCTTCTTTTGCTTCTTTTTGAGAAAGGGAACAAACAAGCTTGCTACTTTGCAACAACACTTTATTGAAATATAAATTCTTCTCTCACTGTACTCTTGTCAACTTTTAACCTCTCCCCTGCATGAAAAAAATAAAAGCTAGGAAACAAAAGGAAAGTTCACACTACAATTTAAGACATTGTTTCTGAATAATGATAACAATAACTAATAGTGGGAGAAATTATATAGTAATAAGAGTCATGGAAAACTTTTGAGTAAGACTGAATGTGTTTCCCAGGAAGTAAATCATCTGAAGACTGACAGTGTTTATTTCAGGTCGAACTTGTGGAGAGAGGCCTGCCACAATTGTCTCTGCCTCTGAGCCTTTAGATGTGAACATATGGGGGGCACTGTGGCCTCCACTGTACCCCACCCCCTAAGTTGGACATGGTGGGGAGAGTTTCTGCAGGGAGCTGAGCTGATGGCCCCAGGCTCTGGGGCCATGCTGCACTGGCATTCACTCTTTTTTTTTTCCAGTTGACTGCAGCAGTGACTTGAAGTTTCCAGTTAATTTATTTCCATCCCAAACTCCAGTTGGCCACGGATTACCATTGGCCGCATACAGCTGGTAGGAAGGGAGAAATAGGTGGGAGGGTGTCTCGTGTACTTTCCTTTATCTGGGTCAGTTTGGTTTCTATGTATATGTCCTAAGATCAGCTTTCCTAAAAGTTAGTGTGGTGGAGAAACCAAGGAAGCACTTTTCCCCGCACAAGCAATGAAGAGGAAGAATCCTTTGGCCTTTTTCTTTGCTTTGTTAAAAATGTTATGGTATTAACAACCATGAGCATCCAACAAAGTCTGCCACCAGCCTTTACAGCTAGAGAGCTCCATGACTGAAAGCCAAAAAAGCCTCAAGCGACTTGACAGACCACTGCTTTTATAAGTGTAGAAAACAAAGAGGGAGGTGCCTGAAAGTGAGGGTACAGTGTTTTGATTTTTATTGTATGTGTTTCTTTTCTTAAAAAGGCCATTTGAAGGATGGGGCTATGCAATGGAAGGAAATAAGCCATTCTCTTGCTCAGTTCTCTTTCATACAAGCTCAATTTTGCTTTTTGGCGATTAATTTCTCCTTTGGGTTACATTCAGGATTCTGAAGTCAGGCCCATATGCTTTCCTTCCAGAAGCTGGGGAGACTTTGCCAAGCTTGTGAGCATTTTAATCCACTTTTCTTTTCCCTATTGAGGACAGTGGGGAGAGAGCATGCAGGAGGTTTGTTCTGGAGCCCTGCTCTTTTTGGACATACTGTATGTTCTATGTCACAGAGGCTAAGGGTGCCTTTGAAATCTTCCATCTAGGGTCAAGAGATGAGAATGGTAGTAAGCCAACACTAACTTGGAGAGGTCTCTCTCCCCTTCAAGCTAGTGGAGGGGACTAGAAATGCAGACACACACACACACACACACACACACACACGAGAGAGAGAGAGAGAGAGAGAGAGAGAGAGAGAGAGAGAGATTCCACTTGGGAACTCCTAGCACTGAATAGCTTGGAGAGACAGTGGCTCCTTTGTGAACCCTCAACAATGGGGTGGTGTAACAACAACAGAGGTAAGTGTTGATTTCATCTATAAACTCCATCTTAGGCTAATTTGAACAGCTTTCTCTGCTTTCAACACCCCCCCCACCCCTTTACCACACACACACCCAGACAGACGTGCAGGGGATGCTCCACCCCCCTCCTCAGGACCACTTTTTCTTTTTAAAGACAGTTCTTCTGTACATCCCCCCCACCTCGTCAGAAAAGTGCTATTTTGTTCCTGAAGTATTTGGATGGCTACTTCAGGGAAGGATGAATCTCCTCCCTGGTAATGCTTCCCCTCCCTTCCCACCCACCCCATCCCCTTCCTTCCTCCTCTTCCCTTTCCCCTCCCCTTCCCTTTCCCCTTTGCTTCCTGCCTGTGTGTGTACTCTTCTCCCCTCCCCATTTGTTTCCTTTGCTTTTCTTCCCACTTCCCCTTCTTCTCTCCTGCTAGCTCTCCATTCCTCTTTCTTCCCACCCCTCTCCTTTCCTTCCCTTTTCAGACCCTCTCTTGCTGGCTTCACACTGGAGATTCTCCTGCCCCTCCTCCTGGGATGGTGGGCCAATGCCACCACACCCAACTAGGTCTCCGTAAAACACAGCACCATTTATTAATAGGAAGTTAATGGAAAAGAGGGGAGGTGTGACCAGCATGACCGAAGGGTTAGTGGCGTTTCCCTGAGACTGGCTTGGAGTTGCTCCACAAACTGGAGAGTTGATCTTGGTGTCTAAGCTCACTCTCTGGTTTCCTTTCCCATCTAACCCCAGTGGCTGGGCAGATTAGCTGTCTAGATGTGTTTCACTTGTGCTGAGGTCCCCAGAGCAGACATTATGATGTGATACATTAGAAACTTTGCAAAGTATAACTTTCCCAAGGCGATTGGTATCTACTCCAGCCAACCTGAAGTAGTCACAATGTCGACTTGGAAAACAAGGCCTAGTTCAGATTAGGATGTACTCCAAGATGGATATCTTCTAGATTGTAAGGGTGAGTTTTCTACCATGCAGCTTAGATAGCTGCTTATCATTGTTATAGAGGATCTCTAGTAGTTTCTAATGCTAATGCCTTTATCTTCCTTGGGTGTAAACAAAAGAAATGTTGAGGAATAATTACACCATTTGGCAGAAGTCCAGAAAAGAACCCAGTGAGCAGGTTTCTTTTACCTCTGTGCACAGATTTTTAATTGGTCAGGGTATATAAATTATGAAAAAAATTGTCAGATTTTGGGGGACAAACTTCCTTGTAATACACAGAGAAAGTTAAGGCTCCTGGAAGTCAATTCACTTAGTTAACATAGGGCATAGATAGATTACAGTCATCTTCAAGCAAAGGCTTTTAAGGAGTTTCCCTGTCTCTTATTGGAGCCTCACACATTGGTGCAGTTCTCAGTCATCTCTGTAATTGGCCAACTGCAGCTTTGGTCTTTGTTCTTGCTGGTATGGTTAAGCTCTTACAGAGCCTCTCTTCCCTGGGGAAGTGCCATCTTCCCTTCCTATGTCATTCACTTCATCTATAAGGAATTGGCAAGTTTTCTCCCCAAATGCAGGGATCTCAAGAGAATGAGAGGGCCTGGGAACTTCTGTGTCTTTGCTACAATCAAAAGATCATATAGTGTGTGATAGCCAGGCTTGGGATGAATTTTTGCTCTGACAGCTGCAACCCTGATTGGCTGTATAGTATTAGTTAAATGGCTTGTGCCTTCCCTGTGCACAGTAGGGATGCCAACAACACTGTCCTCTTAGAGTTGTTGGGAGAAT